GAATGAGGGGGGGTTCCATACCTGAGTAGTTATTTCTTCCCACCACTTCAGGATCCTTTACTTTTTTTGGGCAACTGTGTACAGTGTTGCAAAGGTGTTTTGGTCTCTAGCTTTACTTTAATAGTCAGAAATGAACTGGATTAGAATATTTAATCAGATAGCATTATTATTTAGCTATGTGCCACAATTTCATAAAGGAAAATATTTCCCTACAAATTGCTATACATATATGCATGTATACATACATGATTTTTTTTTTATAAAAGGAAAAGCAGTACTTGAGTATTTCTCCTAGGTCTTTTAACCAACTTCAGTGCTAGAAGTGTTATCACTGGCATACCTTGAGACATCTCTTGAAACAGGTATTAATGATCTAAAACATTAAAGATTCTAAAATAGAAATCAGGGAACACATTTATAACGGTGCTTTCCAGTTTGAGGATCCCATAGTGTTTTAAGATGACATTATAAAAATTGTATTATGTCATTGTTTTGTCCCTGAATTTTTGTGTTTATTTCTGACTGCCTGTGTTTTAAGGAGGTAATGAGAAGATGTTTAGACAACACAATTAGGCTGAGATGTGGAAAGCTTTCTTTATTAAAAGAGAAATGGAAAAGTTTTTTACTCACTTAGAAAGAGGGCCAAGAAATATAACAGAGTCCTAGAGATGCATAAAAATATACAGTACCATTTTTCAGAATATAAAGCAGATATTTCTTTTGCTGTAATACAAGAAGCTATTTATTGATATTGCAAGGCAAGAAATGTAAAACTAGTTAAAGTCTCATAAATTTGTATTACACTGTATAATATGCATGTGGAACTCATTACCACTGAAAATCATTGATACCAAGAGAGTGGTAGGTTGGCTTATTATTAATATTTTTACTAAATATTAGATTTATTAAATAAAGATACAAACATTGTTTGGCTTCAGACCAGTGAGAATTATAAAAGACAGCAGGTTTCAGGATATTACTAGCTGTTGATGGCAAAGTAAGCAGGAGTCTTCATGGACAAATATGCCCCCACAGCCCATCCATCACAATAATTCTTGAAGTGTTTAACACTGACCTTTGTCAAAAGTGAGGCAGCAGGATGATGGGCTTGATCTGGGAGCAGTTCCTGTATTCCTCTGCATTATTGTAGTCCAAGAGCATTTGGAGAACACTATTCAGGGAAAAATATACTATGACCTGAAGTAATGCTTATGGGAGTCTCAGTATATTAAAGGACCATTTCATCCATTGTGGAAATTGGCTGGGTGGAAAATTCTACACGAAAGGAAAATCTTTTCTGCAGGTGCATGTGTTTAAAAGTCTGCTTTTAAGAATAGCTGTAGAATCTGAAATACCTACTGTGGTTAGATCAGGCACCAGCTTTTTAATGTTCAATTTTAAAGACACCTGTGCAGTGAACTGCATGAACCTACCGCCTGTTTATCCATTTTGGAAGGAGAAGGGGCTGAGTCAAGACCACTGGAATTTAAAGTTAAGGATTCTTATGTTCTGGTCATCAAAAGTTTTGCTGAGAATAGCATGCCAGCTCTTGCAGTTTAGCATCATTTAGAGCATGTGCTAAGTTTTATTATGTAGGGCTGCTTGGGACATTCAGCATATGTGAACCTGTAATTAGTCCTCCTAAAAGAGATCCCTGTCCTGACATCACCGATATGCTGATCTGTGTGTATGACAGTGCACTGTATCTGTTGTTATAATATTTCCACTGACATGTAATACACAGTGGCTCATAAAAAGGAAGGAGGGTTTTTAAAGCTTGCACAGTGGACTACAGTTTTGACTGTTTCCTTCTGATGTTTAAAAATAAGAACTCTGAATGCAAATTTATTATTTTCAAAAACATCATCCCTCCCCAAAGCCTAGAAAACAGGATGCAGCTGTTGCTTTTTGATGTGAATCGCAGTCAATTAATGTTAATGATTGGTAAATTTGAATCAGTCTCATGATTTGAATAAAAGATTAGTCTAATTTTTTATTTTCATGTGTACATGATAGCAATTAAACATTGTTGCTTGTGTAATCTGTTGCTATACACTTTGACATTAAGCAACTGGAATATTTGACCTCTGCTACAGCAAATGATAAAATATAAGTGCAGCCAAATTACTGCAGAAAGTTGAATTGGAATATTTTACCATCTTTCTCTTCAATTTTAATAATTTATAGCAGATGCACAACTTAGTACTGTACTTTCATACATCTTTCTTTTCCTCACCATTGATTGGTTCACGAACAGTTGCTATTTATTATTTATTTTGAAAGCTTTTCTCAGAAACCCCAGGAGATGGATCTTGTATCCATTCCTTAAGGCAAATAGTAATATCAAATACTGTAATAATAATAAAAAAGCAATAGTGTTTTGAGCAAAGCCTAAAAAAAAGGCAAGCTGTAGATTGCTTGCTTTTTACAGACTAAATAATGATGATTTAAAAAACCTCTTTAGAACATAGTATTGTAATTATTTTAGAAGGTGGATTAGTAGGCACAGAAAATAAAATGTGAAGAGAGGCCAATGGCAGCACAAATTACTCAACAGTTGTCGCAGTCCATTCAGTGGAGCATTCTGGCATTCTCAAAGCCCATGAATTTATTCGCTTCTCTGCAATAAGACAAGTAACCACCTTTCATAGTAACTGGGTTGACAATGTTTTTCATCCTTCAGATATTTGTCCACTGGAACCTACACTTTGATCCCTGAGTTTTTGGAGAGAGTTCTCAATTACCTCTGCTCTCAGCTGGATTTTAAAAGAGCCTCATGAAACAGCCACAGGTCTAGATAAACTCAGCATGAATTGTTTTTTGCAAGCTCTGATGACCTTCTCGCTTACCACTGCTTCTTACCTGATTTTTCTGCCTGGCTTGCTCACTCAGGCAATGATTTGCCCAATTTCAAAGTGTTGAATGTTTGGCTCATCTTTCTCTCTCGTTTCTGCACTATTGCATCCCAGCCTTAATATTTTCTTGTTTCTTTTTAACCTCTTAATTTTTCATTAAAAGAAGCAAAACAACTAAAACACAAAGAAACAAAAGAACCAAACAACGCAACTTTACTTTTTGGATGCAACTAACACCTGCTGTGATGAGTTATGGTAATGACTGACAGCAGCAAGTTCATCTTTGCTTTAGACTTCAGCTCTGCCACAGTTATGCTTACCTCAATGCAGGCAAAACCTCAACTGTCTCACTAGGTTTTCCAGCAACTGTAGAAAAAAATATTTAAAAATCAGTGAATCCTGAAACTTGATATTAATATTATGAAGCTAGCTATTTGATTTGATTTTACCAGAAAGCTAACCCATCACCACTATTCCAAGTGAATGTTCTGCCTGTTTACCTCCACCTGCAGCATTCCTACTTCCTTGCCAAAGGACTGATGCTCCCCTCCTCCTTATCTTTTCATTTCTCCATCTATTTCATCCTTTTTTTTTCTTTATGCATGAGCCAGACTCCATGCAGGTAGGTGGCTGCTGCTGGTGCTTCTTTTAAGCTAACAGAGTTTTCTTGCTTACCTCCTGGTAGTGATCCTTTTTTCTTAGCCCAGAGCTATGGTAAGCAGTCATAAGTGGAAGACTTAGTATCCATTCAGTGTATTCAGAGACAGAGAAGTACCTAGTTTTATGTAGCTGTAACTCCACAACTCTCTGGGCAGATGATAAATAACAGCTCTTCCATCAAAATCATAATAGTTTTGTAAAAAAAAATGGCATCTGGTTATGCAGCTGAGCTCAAACATAAAAATGAAGGTACTGACCTACTCAGGTACTTTGGGAAACTTTTTGTAGAATCATAGAATGATTTGGGTTGGCAGGAACCTTTAAAGATCATACAGTCAAACAGCTTCCACTTGATCAGGTTGTTAAAGCCCTGTCCAGTCTGACCTTGAATGTTTCCAAGGCTGGGGCATCTATCACCTCTCTGAGCAACCTGTGCCAGTGTTTCACCAACCTCATCACAAAAAATTTCTTCCTTATATCTAGTCTAGATCTATGCACTTTTAGTTTAAAACTGTCACCCCTTGTCCTGTTGCAGCAGGCCCTGCTAAAGTCTGTCCCCATCTTTCTTATAAGCCCCCTTTAAGTATTGTAAGGCCCCAGTAAGGTTTCCCCAGAGCCTTCTCTTCTCCAGACTGAACAACCCCAACTCTCTCAGCCTGTGCTTCCAGCAGAGTTGTTTCAGCCCTCTGACCATTTTTGAGGCCCTCCTCTGGAGCCCCTCCAACAGGTTCATGTCCTTGTGCTAAGGACTCCAGAGCTGGAGACAGTACTCCAGGTGGGGTCTCACAAGAGAGGAGCAGAGGGGCAGAATCACCTCCCTTCACCTGCTGGCCATGCTTCTTTTGATGCAGCCCAGGATACGCTTGGCCTTCTGGGCTGCAAGCGCACATTGCCGACTCAGGTCCAGCTTTTTGTCCACCAGTACCCCAAAGTACTTCTCCACAGAGCTGCTCTCAATACCTTCATCCTCTGACCTGTAGAGATACTGGGGGTTGCCCCAAAAATCACCACCGCAGGTGGGTGATTTAGTGCAAGAGGGTGCCACTTGTAGTGCTGAGGATGCTCAGTACTTTCTTTATCTTAGTCTTCATTGCCCAGGTTTCTCAGTCAGATGTGCCTGGGGCAGGGTTGGAAGAAACACCAGTAGCAGAAAATGATTGAGTCAGGAATCACCTCTGAAATTTTGTGAAGATTGAGGGAGGCCCTTGGGGACCAAAAAAAGGCCACTGTTGAACCTATCTTCAGAAAAGGCAAGAACAGGAATTAAAAACTGATCAAATTCCCTTCAACAGTTGGAAATCTCACAGAACAAGCCATCTGCAAAGTTATTTCCAGTTACATAAAGAAGGTGGTGAATGGAAATAGCCAGAATGGATTTACTAAGAGTGAATCATATCTGACTGACCTGCTTGCTTTCTGTGATTAAATGACTAGACCTGTGGGTGAGGGAAGAGCAAGGTGTGTTGCGTAGCTTGACAGGAGAAACCATTTTGCCACAGTCTCCAAGAATATCCTTGTGTCCAAGCTGGGATGCTCTAAATGGATGGACTATCAGCTGGGTGCAAAACTGGCTGGATGCCTGGGCTCACAGTAATGGTTAATGGCTTGTACTCCACCTAGAGGCTGATTCCAAGTGGAGGGCTGCAGGGGATTTACTGGGACATGCCCTGTTTGATATCAACACCACGAAGGAGGAGCTGCTCACTATTTTGCAGATGATGACAACCTGGAGGGCTGCAGTATGCATGTGTGAGGGCAGGGCTGCCATTCAGAGGGACCCAGACAGGCTTGAGGAATGGGCTGACTGGGACTGCATGAAATCCAACAAGGACCATTGCAATGTCCTGCCCCAGGATGGTTGAATTCCCTGCTCTGATGCAGATTTGGGATGGACTGGTTGGGCAGTGGCTCTGCTGATGAGGACTTGAGGGATGTCCTTGCTAACATTAGGCTAAACACAAGCCTTCTCTGGAGCAAAGTCAGCAGATTACCAGCTCTGGCTTTTCCTATCCTTTTCAGCACCATGTTTTGCAGTCCTCAAGGCTCAAGCCATGTCCTGTGAAGTCTTACTGCAGCTGCTGGACTTGGCAGGGGCACAGCTGAGATGTGCTCGTGGGTGGGTTCCTGCTGTCTTGCACGTGGGGGTGACTGACCGTGGTGACTGTGTTCCCATGAGCAGCGCAGGGTGGTAATGTTGGAAACCCCGTTGCCTGAATATATTGGGGGTTTCAACATGGGCAAACAAGTGTGGAATGTAGACTTGGCTAGTAGCTTATAGGGGTTTAATTAATCTGGTTTTCATGCAAATAGCCTGAACAATCGAACTAAAAATAATCAGTATCAAGTGGTGGTTGCTGTCAGCCCTGTATTTAGCTGTTTTGCATCTCTGCCGGGTGGATATGCGTGTTTGTAGGTTGTGCTAGATATTCCCTGACTATGAAATTGCAGCAGAAGGTTGTGAAACATGTATGAAATCAAAATTTTGGATGCATAGAGGGCATAAAAATCTAGATGGCTGTGGAGGCTTTGCTATGCAGGACTGTGATGTGCATTTCTAAATAGCTGGAAAAGCTCATCAGACCTTGCAAGGACAAGAAAAAAAAAAAAGAAGAATCTTAAATGGCTTTAAAATCTAAGCAAATCTTTCTGCTTTTTTTCCTCACTGGTGGATTTCCCCCTACCCCAGGCTGAAAACTGATAAAAGGAAGAACTTCAAGTTCTCACTTTTAAGTTTGGCATCATTTTTATAATGTTTACATGTTATTTAATTCTATTCTTTGCAGGACCGGTGTAGGCAGGATGGATTCTGAGGAGGAAAAACCTGAAAGGCTTCAAGAAAAAGGGGTGGGCCAGGTGTCCAAGAATAGTTTTTATGCTTTTTTTTTTTTTTTCCCTGCAAATAGAAATCTCTTGCTAGATGTGAGAATCAGATTTGGTTCAGATCAGTTCAGCTTTTTGTTAATTTGAATGAAATTTGGTTTATGAAAATGGAGCATTTGTCATTGGTCTTGCCTTTCCTGTTCTCTTCCCCTGCTGCATTTTGATTTAGAGTAACAAGATCCCAACAGGGAAAGGCAAATGCAAATAAAGTTTGGGACTCCAGCTGGCCACTGGAGTTTCTTTCAGATGTGTGATTCATCTATAACCTTGGTTTTATATTTCTCAGTAAAAGTAAATAAAACAACGATGGGTACCAAGTGGGATAGCAGTGAACTTTGTGTTAGGACTGCATAACAGATCTCAAAATAAGATGCATGTGAAAGACAAGGTCATGGCTGGTAGTCCTTTCACTCTAACGTTTTTGTGCATGATGTTTATAATGCATTATTAACTGCTTTCCTGATTTTTTTTTTTTTTTAAATTAATGAAATTCTATAGTTCTTTCTACACTGATTATTTTGTAATAGGTGAACAGACATCTACATCTCCTGGTTGTTACTAGGATGTTTACCTAGGCAATTCAGAAACTTTATGCAATATTAGGAAAAATATATTTATGGCAACTAGTATTCATCATGGAAAATAAATATTCATTCTTTAAAGTATGAAAGGACATATTGTTTCCATTAGAAGTTGTAATGTTTTTAACAGAGAACATTCTTGGATTGTATTGAATTTCATTTGCGGTATACATGTGACTTCTAATCACAGGTCAAAACTAGGAAAAGAAATTGAGAGTCTACATTGGAGATTAGAAGAAAAAAAGTGTTTAATTTATTTTCATTAAAAGTGTTCAGTTCAACTCCTAAATGTGACCAGAACAAATGTTTTGAGATAGAAGATCTGTATGAATAGTACTTTTTTTAGGAAAAGAAGCTTTAATGTTGTATGCCTTTTCTTCCAGGAAATTAAAATGCATGACTGACAGTGAAACTGTTGCACCTGACTGGCCTTACTACAAAACCATTGACAGGATCTTGTCTAAAGTGACAGACCACAGCGATGTGAAAATGCATGAAAATCAGCAGCCAGGCCCTTCCACGTCACAGACGGAGGCCTCGCAGTCTCCCTCGGCCAAGTCCACGCCTCTCTATCTGCCATATAACCAGTTTACCTATGAAGGACGGGAAGAGTGCTTTGAAGATGAACATTCCGAGAGCTCGTCAAGCTTACTGTCTTACAAGCTGAGGTAGCATCTATTTCCTCCCCCCTTCTTTTTGTATTTCACAGAATGAACCAGACCTCCTGTGTAAAGGGGACACGTTAGCACAGTTTTCTCTAACAGCTGTTCTGTCTTTTCTGTAAATCACAACTGAGTTCTGTTCCCCAATCTCAGCCACTTTGCTGAATAAGGGCATTTTCTTTATTCCTTTGAGACACTGGAAGGGAGTAGGAGGACTGGGCAAAAAGTTGGGAAATATTTCCAAAACTCACATGCATGTCACTGCTCACATAAGGTAGCATGTTTATAATTGGGAGCATAGGCATGTTCAAGAGAGTTCTGCAGTGCAATCAGAGGTGGAACATCTGCTTAGATGATTTTTGGCTTGCTCCAGTTTTGCTTTTGGTATGAGTGTGACATTTCTCTGGATTCAGCTATTATTAAAATGGTGAAAAGAAGCAAACAATATTTCTGTGGACACTGAAATGCTACTCGTGCCATTTGAAAGTACATTGCAACAGTCTAAATTCAATTGAGAATGTCACTTTTGCAAAGTAAATGCTAGTTTGGGAACGCAAATGTGTGTTTTCTTTTTTGATAAGACTGGACTTCTTTGGACGGCAGCCTTCTAACAAAAGGCAGATTTGTACATTTAATACAAATTTTAGACTTTACTGGTCTCATTTTTCATCCAGAATGGTGTGAAGTAAGAGCTGATTACAGTTTTCTGGCAGGAAAAAAAGTTGATCCTAGAGATTCTTATCATGAGTCTGTGAAGCTTTAACTATACCAATAAAATATCTGTCAGTCGTGCAACTGAGAAGGTGTTGAGCTAGAGGAAGAACCAACCTAACAAGTTTGGATTATTGTTTCCAGGCCTAGTCTTAGATGGAGAAAACTAGTATAGTTCATTCAGCCATTCAAGCAAATAGCCCTTGGGTACCTGATTATTTTTTAAAACTTTAGATTTTTTTTTTTTTTTTTTAACTATTGACTATATATTAGGGTGTATAATTTTGAACTGTAGCAACCTTTTTGTTCACAAGCAACGATATTTTTCATCCTAGTTTATTGTATATCCCTGATACACAAGCTCTCTTGATTTCAGGGTTTGCAATAATTTTTTTTCCCAATTCACTATTTGATTTCCAATAATATTATTTAGTATTTAATTAGAAGTTCATTTTTCCACAAACATGACTAAACTATTTGATAACATCGGACTTTTAAAAAGTGCCAGATATTAGGTTTCTTCAGCTTAGGAACATCTTCAGGATAACACAGGTTTTTGTACCCTGGGTGACTGGTAGGGGAGGACAGAGGTCACCACACAAGGTTTCGTTACAGAGTGGAGACAAGCCATCACAGAAGTCAAGCTAACCAACCACAAATATATATCTGTTATGATTACAGTTTGCATGTGGACTGCCATTCTCATTCTAAAGTGGTCTTAAGCCACTCTAACTGAATTATTCCCAGAGTGATAAGATCTGGGAAATTTATGATCTAATGCATTTCAGTCAGCTTCAGGTTCAGTGGGGTTTTTACTTTGTCCAAGTTAATTACTTAACCTGTTTTAGTAAACAATGTTTTAACTTTACTTGGCCAATTTAGAACCTACAGATCATTTAAATCTAGCTTTTAATGGCACAAGCTGTCCTTCAGCTGGCTGCAAGTCTGTATGGCAGGTAAAGATGCTCTGTCCTAGCAGTAGGTCAGGTTGCAGTGCTGCTGTTGCCTGTTAAGGATGGCTGTGTAACAGGGTTTTGGCGCTGGAGGGGAGGGGTAGGTCAGCTGTCAGTGTGGTAGGACCTCCACAATATGTTGCTCCATAACTCTCACAGTCTACTATGTTGCTCCATGCTCTCACAGTCTCTTCTATAAAAGAATTTAGTGCAATATAATATTGTACATATCTTATAACAGCAAGATATGTACATATTCACAGGTTAAAATACAGTTCTGTTGTGTTTAAAAAACAAAAGTTGAGCAGTAAATACCATGTGAGGAATTAGTATAAAACTTCAGGTGAGCATCATGATCAGATTGAAAGTTAGAAGGCACTTGGGATATTAAGCAGGCATGTATCTGGAAGGAAGAAAAGTGGTATTCCAATAGTCACAGAGGGTTTTGAAAAGCTTGTACAGCTTTGACCTGTTTAGTTTAGCCTGATAAATGAGAGAAGAGTTAGGGAAACCTTTCTTGGGCAGAAGGAAATACGGTGCTTGCTAATGATATCAGATGGGTTAAAATCACTTAGAGCTGCCATGGTAAGACAAGGAAGATAATTCTTTACAGTTACTAATGGAAAATTATGAACTGAGAAGCAATTTTCAGCTTAAGCAATTAGTGTGTCATCCTGTATTTGAAAAATGTTTTGAAATAGCCAACAAGAGAGAAAAGAATTAGCATACAAAATTTTGGTACATGTTGGCTTTTTTTCTGAACGCCCTTTCCTCTAAATGGTACACAGTTGATCTAAGAGATTAAAAAGAGGAACTAAAGGCTACACTGGGGTTTGAAGTTAAGAGAACATTTCATGTCCTTAATTTTTGTACTTTATTGCTGTGCAAAACAATTATTTTGGAACATATTTTGACAAATATACACACATCTCTATATAAAATATAGATGCATTTTACAGCTGTGTGTTTTACAGCTGTATATTCCCTGTTTTTCCATGAAGCAGGCTATACCCAGATCAGTCAACTGTGCAAAGTAAGCTTACTCTCTGGGATTTTTTTCTTCAGTTATAAAAATCATAATGTTATGGCAACAATAGATAGTGAAAAAAAAAACCCTCAAATAATACTTTTTTAAAGTCAGCTTTTAAACTCTGAAAACTTTACCTTTATTCCCTTAAAATCTCAAACACAGCTTTTGAGTATCAGCTTTGTATTTTCCACAGTACCCTTAAATGTAGGACCAGGCTCCTTGGCTATATAAATAACAATTTTTTAAAAACATATTGAATTTAATGTTTAGCTTTCATGATAGATAAAAATGTCAAGATTTAAACTTCAGTCAATACATACACATCCTCAAGCTAAAACCAGTTGAAACTGGGCTTCTTTGCATTTTATTTGAAATTCTTTGAGTTTGAGACCTTCTTACAAAAAAATGCTAGTTAGTGGTAATACAATTAACATGGGATAAAATTAATTTCTATTTTTGTTGCAATTTGCAGAAGAGGAATACATTTGGAATCCCTATTTCCCTTTAGGGGAGCACCTACTGTTTAGCATTGTTTTAATGGAGTTCTTGGGCTTCAACAAAGCTTGTATTAAACTGCAACGTTCATAAAACATCTGATGATAATAGAATTATTCTGTTATGGTCAGATAATAGAATGGAATGTGGTGGTCTTGTACTGCAGATTGAACTTTTGAAATCAAAATTCCTGATGCCACTATAAACTACTTTTTATCTAATTAACAACAGTATTTTTTTCACCCTGTGGACTAATTTATGGTCTTTCTTTTCATTGTTAAAGTAATGACAGAATATAATTATCCAGACTGTGAATGTGGTTCAGACTTCATCTGTTCTGCAATTTCTTATTGTACTGAAAACGGGCATGAAGGAGTTACTTTCAGAGATTAATAGACCATGATAAACCCACCACATCATCTAGTCTGACTTCTTGTTAAGTACTATCCATGTATTTGAATTCAGTTATTCTGGTGTGGAGTCCAGAAATGTTATGGAAGGGGTTCTGTGATGTGCTTCCCTTCAGCAGAGGTCTACCGCACTGAGGAGCCCCATCTCCATTGTTTCCATGCCCTGTTTCTTTGTTTCCGTGCTTTGTTTGACTCTTGGACATTTTTTACTAGATATCCAGTCCAGGTCTGATATATTCAGAAAATGGAGAATTCACCCTTCTCTACAGACACCTGTTTTAGTGATCATTCCCTTGTTTAACCTGGTGTCTTGCTTTTAATGTGAATATAATGAATTCAACTTTCAGGTGTTTCTCCTATTTATCTTTCTTTTAATTGTATTGGAGAACCTTTTAGTATTTTCAATTTTTGCTTCAAGGTAGTTATTTATCATGGTGATGCTGTCTTTGGTATTCCTTAATTTTTAGATGTAAACTAAATAATTTGGTACAGAAGGTTTACACATGGAGAAAGAGTGAGAAATGGTAACATGAATTAGCCAGGATATGGATTGTTTAATAGACATGTATAAAAACTTGGTGAGGTTACTAATTCAGGAAATAACAGTTTTGGCAAAGCCCTTAATCTTCCTAAAATTATGCCATGGCTATTTAAAACCTGAATGGGCAGCCTCTACAAAGAAGTTTGAGCTTTAGGCTATATGCATTATGTACTGCATCTTAATTCATTATTCAGACTTGTTATCAGAGCAAGATGCTTTGCCCAAGCTCCAAGCCATTTTTGTGGTTCTTTTCTACACTTCAGGGATGAACCTCATTAATTCCTGAATACATTTGGCTGTACTTGACTGAGCCTAGTTTACCAGAAGATCCATGTTGCCTGATCCTCAGTCCTCTAACTATGAAGATCTTTGTGCTATCTTTAATATTAATATTACTTATTTCCAGGTCATTTCACTGGAAGAGGGTAAATTTAGATTAGACTGTAAGGAACAAGTGTTCACTGTGAGGGTGGTGAGACAGTGGAACAGGTTGCCCAGGGAAGTTGTGTATGCTCCATCACTGGAGGTGTTCAAGACTAGATTGGATGGGGCCTTGCACAACCTAGACTAGTGGGAAGTGTCTAGGACTACTCTACTACTACTCTAGTAGTTGGAGTTAAATGAACTTGAAGGTCCCTTCCAACCCAAACCCTTCTATGACTCTATAGCGAGGAAATAGCTTTGTGAGGATCTGCTTGGAACATGGTCCTGATGCTAGAGCTCTTGCACGCTCCATTTGTGCCAGTTCTCTTGGAAGCTCCCTGATGTAGATACTGGAGGCCAAAGAGTATGAGGAGATTGTATTTGAAATCCTGGATTTCCTAGATCCTCTTTCCTCCAGATCTCAAAACCTACCTTCAGAGACTAATC